GTATTATATAGACTGGGCTTATGGTGGGAGGGAGGATAAGGACAGTATTGTGGGGGACAGTGGCTGTGGTGGGAGGGTGGTTAGGGGCAGTATTGTGGGGGACAAAGGCTATGGTGGGAGGGGGATTAGGGACAGTATTGTGTGGGCTATGTTGGGACAGGGACAGTATTGTACAGACTGGGCTTATGGTGGGAGGGGGGGTAAGGGCAGTATTGTGGGGGACAAAGGCTATGGTGGGAGGAGGATTAGGGACAGTATTGTGCGGGACTGGGGTTAAGGGGGCGGAGACTACAGGAGCTCAGAAATACCAGACTCATATCGCTCGTGCTGCACTGAAGCCGGATCACTGCATTCCGGACATTACAGCTATCCAGAGCCAGTGTCTCCAGCTCCACTACTAGATACATTTTGAACAAAGCTTGGCAGTGAGTAACGGCGTATGCCGAGCCGACTCACCGTGTTCTCTTGTAAGAGACAGTCTGTTTCTCTTTTATCATCACTGAGTTTATAATAAATTTGTTTGCACTTTGTTAATATAACAGAGCTTTATCATTATATCACTGAAACCTGATTTCCTTAACATAATTATCTGGGTAATTTTATGGGAATCTTGGTATATTAATATATGATGTTATAAGCATTATTCATTTAAAGCAATCTGCACAATTATGTGTATTTATGCATTTTCTACACATGGGCTGTGAGATGTGTCAACTTGGCGCCATCTACTGACTATTGAGTATTATTACAACATTTTAAAAATTTTCACAATTTATACTTAGGTTTTGGGTTTATCAACTAAACGTTCATTTTATACTGCTTCGCTTTTATTTATATACTTTTTTCATTTGATTTTGCTTTCTATGTTGGGGGTACAGCACATTGAGTGTGTTAGCAGCATTATAAATAATTCATACCAACTCTAAGTTGCATTAAATTTAAAACTATCAAAACGCTCCAAAACTAATTAAAATATCAAGACTGGGGTTATGTTGGGGGGATAGGAACAGTATGGGGGACAGGGGTGGTATAGGGGGGGTAGGGC